ACATGTGTTCACACCTTGAAGGTACCATCATGTGTCATTGCAGGGCAGGAGCTGGGGCCGCAGTGGTAACCTCACAGCTGTGGGATTGGCCTGCCAGCTCTCCGAAGGGCCCAGCTCTGCTGGCAGCAATGGGATTCTTATGATTACCTGTGTCAGTTGTGGATCTGGCAGAAAATATCCTCAGAGGATGATTTGTTGTGAGAGGCATAAGAGAAGATCAAGGAAGTTTATAATCTGACATGCCATAAACGCAACATGACTCTGCACATGTGGTTGACTTCCTTCACAGTACACCTAAACGTGGGCATAGCTGCTACAGATAGCAGTGCCTATGAAATCAGAGGCTTCTGAAATCAGGGTTGTTAAATTATATTACTTGATTAGTGTTGAAGTACGGGACAATGAAAGGAGGCTTCTCTGCAAGAGTCCAGGCACTGAGAGGAAGCCTACCAGGTAGAGAGGCTGCTGTTGGAAGCATAAAGCAATGTAACGCCCATCTCAGTGAAGCAGTTTTGGCTAAGTCACACTACCTGACATCTGGGACTAGCTCAGAGTGCACTGATGGACAGTCACTACACCACAGCTGAGTCTTGATGTGTTGTGGACAGCCCTACATCCAACCTGCAACTAAGGGTTTTTTAGAACCATGTAGAAGCCCGGGGTTAGGTTCCTAAACTGTCAGCATCTAGGCACTGAGGTGCCCTAGTTTCCCAATCAGTCTAAGCACTCATGCTGTATTCAACATTTTGCAGGCCATCCGTATTAAATAGTCATTGATCATAAACTTAAAAGAGACACTTCAGCTGTAACATTAAAATAAGTTGGGATGTCATTCTGCAATATGGGAAAGCAAAGGTTGGATGGAGTGATCCCTACAGAAATGACTCTGAGGATCATTATGGAGAGAAGTTGAGCTGTGGAAGGGACTATGCAGCTTAACTGTAACACAGAATCATAGAATCAGAGAATCATTTGGTTGGAAAAGGCCTTTAAGATCAACGAGTCCAACTGTATCTGTCCACTACTAAACCATGTACTTAAGCACCTCATCCACCCGTCTTTTAAATACCTCCACGGATGGGGACTTGACCACATCCCTGGGTAGCCCATTACAGTGCCTGGTAACTATTTCAGTGATGAAATTTTTCCTAGTATCCCATCTAAACCTTCCCTGGTGCAACTTGAGGCCATTTTCCCTTGTCCTATCATTTGTTACTTGGGAGAAGAGACTGATGCCCACCTCACTACACCTTCCTTTCAGGCAGTTGTAGAGGGACATAAGGTCTCCCCTCAGTCTCCTTTTCTCCAGGCTAAAACAGTGGATTTCCTGGCTGAAATGCTGTACTGGAGATCAGTCTTGCACACTTTGTAACAGCAGCTGTCTTTGATACTGTGCACTGAAACAGTCTTGGAAGATTTCACTCCTTCATCACTGATGCAGAGCCTGTGTACAAATTGTACGTAGATGCACAGGGACAATCTTTACGGACATAACTTCTACTAATTTCAGGTGACTGATGCATCTGGTGGAGAATTAGAGCAACAAAACCTTATGACCGGCAGTGTCAGTTTTAGCGCTCCATTCATCAGTCAATATGACAAGATTGAAATATTTCACAGCTTTAGGGAATTTCAAAAAATGAGAAACACGATGCTTGACAGTGCTAGCTAAAAACATTCAGATCCCTGTGGATGGACATCCCAATTCTGACTCATGTAACCAACACATATGGCTTCGTCTGCCTATTCTCCACAATTTCACTTTTTATTTCAGTACATGTTGCCTGAGAGGTGTTTGGAGTGGAATGGTTTTGTGATTGGCTTCACCTGAGAAATCTTCAGTTGAAGAGAGAAGAGAATGGTGAGCCTGAAGTGGAGGAAGCAGGGCAGGTACGAAGCTGTCACATTTTCCAGTCATTTAAAGCAACAGAAAGAAGTGACTCACCCAGACAAGGGTAAAGATGGGAGAAGGTAACTTGGATACAGAGGCAGAAGGAGCTGGACTGAAGCAGCCCAGGAGTGCAGTGTCCAGCTACCAAGATGCATTTTCCTCAACCCAGAGAGAGACGTCCAACTCCAAATTTAACATTGCTTTCCTGATAGCAACTACCTGTGAAACCTGCTGGTAAAATGTGCACTCCATGTGCACCAATGCAGGGCTGGAGACCAGGACAAGGACAACCTGCTGCTTGGAGAAGCTCCTCAGAGCCGGTGGCAGAGATCTAGGCAATAGATGCAGGAATCCTTCGGTATTAGCTTGCCATGTCTGTGTTCATCCGGTTCAAAATGCATCAGCTGCAGTCTATGTTCTGTGTTGTAACACTGATAAAGGAAAAAAATGAAGTTGGATGGAGGATTTGGCATGGCATTCTTTTAACCCGTGTTCTTTTTGTATAACGTAGCTATAATAATGTACTTTTTATGCTAATGTAGTTAGCGTAGTTTTTCTAACTTAATAAGAAGGGGTTTTTTTTCCTCCAAGGTGCTGAATAGTCTCTTTTTCCTTAAGTCATTGAAATTCAGAATACCATACCCTTGCAGGGGTGGGCCCTGTTTTCCAAGTACAGGCAGCATTTGAGGAGGGCCAATTTCAGTTTGATTCCCCTGGAGTGACATTATGCATGCCAAAAAGAGAAGCGAGTATAAAAAGCAATTGAGATGAGTTAAGAGACTTGGAATTTGCTTTGCTACTGTATTGCTTCTGTTTTACACCTTGGCCATTTCATTTGTGAATGATTAATTAAGGTCCAAGTGATTCAATTAGGCAAATGCGCTGACTCGAAACATAATAGGAGTGCAGGAGGAAATGAAAGGGAAAATGCATAGTAAGGATGCAATGCATTTTAAAACAAGCTTATTTTTGCAAGGTCAAGGTAATAGACTTTTATTAGCTTATGCTAAATGCATATGGCTGGAATGATGACTGAAAAATAAACCTCAGAAATCTCTGTATCCAGACTAATACAGATGTTCAGAATAACACAGGAACAGGAGTCATGATGCCTCCAAACATACTTTGTATACCTGAAGAAAATGAAGTGAAATCTGTTGACAGAGGATAGATTTTTAGGGATTTAGACCATCGGGTATGAAGTGACGGCTTAGGTCTTAGACTGTGAGCAAGAGAAAAAAGTTGAACTCCTCGCCACTGGGAGATCCCCCAAAACCTACCTGGGCATCAGTATCCATGTGTTTCTTGTATCCTCACTGACTCACTTGATCACTGCCTAGAAAGACTGCCCCGTCTCCTCTCATCCCTAGTGACGGGGAACATGCCTCCAAAGCATATTTGCTGTGATTTTGATTCCAACCTGGCCCTGCGTAACTGGAATTTGGAGTTTATGGATGGCACAGGGCACATTTTGCAGGCAGTAGCTGTTTAAGGGCAGCCTTATAAGCAACTCATGTGAGAAGATCTAGGCTTGCTGACTTCTCTTTGACTTGTAGGCTGGCAATACTGCAAAGAAAAGAAAGGGAGGGGATCAATCTTATTATGCTGTTTTTTCTGGAGATTGAATTAGAAAGAAGCAAGTACAGAAGCTGGTAAGTTACTCCTTGTGGGTAATCTTGACTGCTCAGGTGTTTCTTGGAGGGGCACCTCTAATCATTAACTTCTTACCACAGGTCATGTGAGGTACATTCGGTAGTCAGCTCCCATGACCAAACCTTAGTTATCATAAGCAAGAATGGGGACCTTGGTAAACTTGGGAAATTCCTGAAGGACTGCTTTATTTTAAAACAAGATTTGCATGCAGGTTCTCGATTTGAAGACATTGAAGGGCCTCAGCTGAATATATTGTAGGAGGTTTTCAATAGGAATAGTGAAGCCACTGTATGTTTGAGGAAAGTAATGTAGAAATGAGTAAATGAATTTGTGCCCATTGAAAGGAAAATGGAAAGTATTAAGCACTCCAAAATGTTTTGATTCAAACCTGAGCTATTTATTTTACTCTCATGCTTTCACATTTCTTAAGGTCACTTTAAACAAAAGTGGAGCTTTCAATTTGAAAAACATTAATGATGATTTCTACAGACTCAAAATTTTTCAAAAAATACATTTCAAAACATGTAATTAATTAAGAACTGCCTCTTTCCTGAAAGCAACTTTAATTTTGATGACTCCACATATTCTGTGGAAAGATTTAAAAATCTTCAGCCAATTGTAGTCATGAAATATGCAGGATTCAAGCCAATGCTAAAAAATATTTTACATGTTTGATTTTTGTTGTCTGTACTCCTCTTATGGAGACATATGACAGCTTAAAAAATTACTGTGTCTCTAAGTGCCTCTGTTTTTAAGATGCCTCAGGCTGAACTCCTAAAATGTTCAAAAAACTAGTTCCTTAACAACACAAAATTCAAACTTTTGGAATCAATCTGCACTTTTGAAAATTCAGGCTGTTGTAAACAGACTTTTTGTTGGTAAAACAAAACCAAAAATATTTAATTCACATGAAATAAGACATTGGGTTTGTAAAAAGTATTTTAAGATGTAGCCTTTTCCTTGGAAGTTAAAACAGCTTCCAACAAAGTATAACTTATAGAATCATTATGTTAAGCATATTTTAAGGCAATGTATTGTTGCCTTGGTCATTATTGTAATTTTCCACAATTAATACATTTTGACTATCACCTCATTACTTCTAGAATCACAGAATCATAGAATGTTTTGGGTTGGAAGGGGCCCCTAGAGATCATCTAGTCCAACCCTCAACTTTATCTGGAGAGCTAATAAATGACAAATGACATGCATTCTTCATGACTCTGCATTTCGGTAATTTATCAAGTTGCCTCTAATATTTCCATTACCTTTATCAACTACTTGGAAAAATCAATATCTGATAGGACTCCATGGCGTGCATTGCAAAGTATATAAGCATGAAGTTTGTGTTGCTTGGTCTCAATTTGCTACTTCAAACCATCTGACTGAGAAGTGACTCTTAAATCCTCTTGTCATTTCACTGTTATCTGATTTGCAGGAACCCAAGACTTAAGCAAACATGTCCAACCTCAGTGAGGCAGAACTCATTCACATGTTTAAGGGGATTCCCTTTACCACCAGGTCTTCTCTGGAACTTTTAAAATCCTTGGATACTTTTGATGCTAGAGAAGATGATGTCCTTTTGGTTTCCTATCCCAAATCTGGTAAGTTCTACTTTCAGATGTTAATTGTGAGATGCCTCAATTGTTTGTTTCATGTTCTCTGCTTAAACTACTTGGGAAATGTCTGTGTACAAGAAACAGGGAAGGATGTCTCAGTATATGAATACATTGTTCTGTCAGTAAGTGTTCAAATTACAAAAAAATATGTGTCATTTATCTAAATCTTGATTTTTTTAATTGAAAATAATCTCAGGTGTTTTTATATTGGAAAGCAAATAAACATTTATTTCTTGTAAGCAAAACCTGTACTTGAAAGATTTTCCTGAGGACTATCTACTTTTAGTTATGAACAAGTCAAGAGTTGGATTAAATTATTTGTATGGCTCTTGGCTGTAGATTTATTCATTTCTTATTGCCTCTCCCCTTGCTTCACTCGCCCACAGAAGCACACACCAAAGCAGCAGCTCAGTCATTACTACTCAAATATAAAGACTCAAGTTACTATATGGAAAAAAGAACTCCAGGTTATTCTAAAACTAATGATAAAAATAATATAAACACCTCTCAGCTGAGCAGTTTGTCTCATGAGGTTGTTTTGGTACCAATATTAACACTTCTCACAGAGTAACTTTGTACTTCAGCTACAGCCCAAATTTTTCCAGTATTTATACATTTGGAGCCAGGCGGATTATTCAGTTATATAAAGTTTCTTGAATCTGGGGGATTAGAAGTATGACTTGTGCACTAGCAAGCTGTTTCCATATGCAAAACGCATGTTACACATATTTTCAAAGTAACAAATATTCCTTTTGTTCTTTTTTTTTTCCCTTAAAATTACTCATCTCTAGGCACTCACTGGCTTGCAGGAGTTATAACAAAGCTTTACGATCCTCAAGTTACACTAACATCTCCCATTGAATTTGGAGACAAATCCAATCTGGAGGAACTGAATAAACTCTCATCAAAGAGAATCATCCCAACACACTTAAACTACAACATGTTACCTCCAAATTTTAAGAATAAAAAATGCAAGGTAAGGCAAAAAGATATAAAAGCAGTAAGATATGTTAAGTGTCTGTTAGGAATCTGTTTTGTCTCATTTATCTTTAATAATTTTTTAATTCCTTACAGTTTCCAGAAGTGGTTTGCTGTAAATTTTGCAACCACAGCTGACCACCAGTCAAAGGCAGCGTGAGCAGAGACTTGGGCTAGGGACTGGGTTCTGCTCCGGCCCCAAAGCTCCCATGGGGTGCTTCGTATATCAGGCACCACACAAAATACATCAACATCTTTCAGTCAAAAATATATCATTAGGGAGAGGGGGTATTCTCATCACCCCATTTCCTAGTGGCTGGATCACTGGCTTAGAAACTGGTTATCTTGGGTACTCGTAGGCTGTTCTGGGGGTGAAGGTACTCTGCCACTACCTAGTATTGAAGCTACCCTGTGGAAGCCTGGCAAAGACCAGGGCGAACAGAGGAGAATTGAAATGTGGGAGGCAGATTCAGATCACAGTTTTGGCTTCCTCCCGTGCTAATGTGGGAGGTCTTTAAAAAATCAGCTCTGGGCCTCAGATTTTAGGTTAGAAGTCCAAAATTTCAGGATTACTCAGATCCAGACATTTTGGACAAAGCTAATTTGAGTGAGAGGCCAAAATTTATGTTTTGCAGCTGTCCTGTGAATGTTAATTAGTAAATGTTTTCATATGTTAGGTTTGTGAGATAGTATACTGACTCATGAGTTAAAATTAACACAGCCTCTTTTGTGAAGCATAAACGTTACCAGCTGCAGGAAACGCACTTCTGTCCACCTGGAATTGTTTGCTAACCACTGCTGGCTTCTGCCTAGGCAGGGACAAACACATTTCTATCTTAATGGCATGGTCACCAATGGAGGAATCCTAAAGGGTTCTGAGACTGAAAACTGCCTGTGAAAATGCTACATTTCTGCACAGAGCTCCTCTAAAATAAAGGAAGAATATAATCATTAATAACCATATCATCTTCATTTACAGATGATCTACATCAGCAGAAATCCAAAAGATACCGCTGTTTCCATGTATCATTACTACAGAGATAACCCAAACCTTCCCACTGTTGACACCTGGACTGCTTTCTTTGACTTGTTCTTAAAAGGAGATGGTAAGGATAAATGTTATGTTTTCTCCTTGCAGTTTACATCAGCTTATTACACACAGAAAGAGTTAAGAAATGTGAACCATGTGAAAACTCTTTAGTGCCCTCCTTATTCATATGGCTTTAGCTGGTGGGGTTTTTTTTAGGATAAATTCTAATGCCAAACTAAACAAGAGCAAATCATAGGATGCTATCTTCAGCCCTGCAAGGAGACATTTTGATAAGCGGCTGCATTATTTCAGCACAATTGCTCTTTGCAGGTTTTTGCTGTTCTTTGTCATAGCTGTTAAAACCCATATTCTCACAGACAAGTTACTGATTTCATTTCTTCTCACAAACCCCTGGCAATTTGTTGATTCTGTGCAGATCTGCCTGTGTTAAAACATTTCCATCCTTGTCTTGCAAACCGCAGTAACAAACTGCTTCCCACCATGAATTCATGTTTAAACTTTGATAGAGGAGGTATGTGTATACAGCTCCTCCCTGGCAGATTTAAGGGCAGCTGGGCTCACGGCAGCCTGCTCCTGTTCTCGGCGAGCAGGCCGGTGGGGCGGGCGCTCTGTTGGAGGGTGCTCAGCCAGCTCCACGTGGCTCACTGCCATGCTGACGTGCAGGCAATGGGGCATGTGGAGAGGCCATCCCCAGGAGGCTCCGGGAGCTGTGCTTTCAGGCACAATGTCTTCTCCCATCTTCAAGACAGCCTTGGGTGGCCCTTCAGAGGGAGTCCTGATGCTTTCCTAAAGCCCTGCTGCACACGCTCTGCCTGATGTGTTGTCTTAGTAGCGAGGTCCAAAGACCAAGGACAAGAGTGAGATTTTTATGAGTGACAGCGGTAGCATGGAAGCTGACAACAGGACCGTGTTCCAGTTATCCACTCCCATTTTTAGTGTTTTATTGCTCCTTTGAGGACATATGTTCCTCTTATACAGCCATAAGCGATGATAACAACAACAATGACAGATCAGCTCGAAAACTTTGAAAGACAAATGCCATTGCAGTCATCGTGGGCTTACACCAAAGATCCAGAAGTCAGTTTGTCTACTGCCTTGTGTGGGCTTTGGCTCTGATCTTGCGTTCCTAGTTCAGAGCAGCCCTAAGGCATGTGCTTCAGTGATTTGCAGGATCTTCGCTCGTTTAGTATCAACACTGAACATACAATAGCAAAAAAAAGAAAATAGGATTATGTTAAATTTTAAAAGCATCTCCTATTTCTCTCTAGAGCAGTAGCCACCTTCTATCTTCTGTGTGCTTATGCAAGGCATAAAAAGATAACTATGTTGGTTACAATAGAAATTTATGTAAGAGCTGATACTGAGAGTTTGTCATTTTTGCTCCTAATAGAAACATACGAAGGCTGTGCTGCTTGATTCAGATCCTGTAGTACTCTTGCAGAGTTAATCTCAGTTCAGAACAGGGGTGAGGACACACAGAGACAACTGTGATGCTGTCCCTGGAGTCTCCGAGACTGTATGCTGTACCCCTGAAGCCAACAGGGCTATTCTGTGCTATCGTTGGCCATGTCTCTGGTGTTACTGACCAGGAGGGCAGGGTTTAACGGCACACCGTGGAGCACACACGCCTTGCAGTTAGTGTTTTATTTGCAGGAGGAGGCTATAGAGTAGAGCATTCAGCAAAATACTTAATTACGTCTCAGGGTCTGCAACCTAAATGGTGCCCATTACAATATTACACTTTTCTGGTAGCAGTTACAAAGCAAAGTCACAGTTCTGGAGAATGCCAGCTGCGATTGCTCTGTCCAAGCCTCTTCTAATCGCCCTGCAGGAGTCTTTCGACTCATCTTTCAATGCAGTCTATCTTGTCCTTCAACCAGAAGGGTCAGAATATTGGTTTTTAAAAGAAAGCTGAAATTTGGCTCTCCTCCCATGGTTCAGCAAAAGGCGCATGCAGACAAAACAAGTACTATGAGTCAACTATAAAACCAGAAGTTATCTATGTCATTGGATGAATGATGTATTTGCATAATAATTTGCTTACCTAATTCTTCTTTGACTTTTAAAAATAATACAGATTTCTCCTCTGCTGGGACAAAATACAGCTAACCATAGCATGCTCCATTTAACAGGCTCCTTATTTCATTTCCTAGTGAAGTGATCGTATTTCTAGCTGTGACCACAGACATGCAGATATTTGCTGAGATGCTCAGATCTTGTTAGCCCTGTACATTTGCCTTCATTACTGGCCTTTCCTTAGATTTGGAGCCTGTTTCCAGTGCAGAATTATCTCTCGGAATAGTATCTGCATCTCTGATACAAACCCAGATTCCAACAGTTCTTTGGATTGTAAGTTTGAGTCACTTCACAAAAAGAATTGAATCTGTTTTAGAGTAGTAGAGGGTACACGCTAAGAAGAAAGGGATCATTCCCCTAAATGTGTGAGGTTGCAGTCAGAGTTATTTATGAATAAAGTTTATATGAATCTCTTTTACGTGGATTTTCTTTTCAGTTGTCTGTGGATCCTGGTTTGATCATTTCCTAAGTTGGGAAGAACATGAAAATGACAAAAACATCCTATTTCTGTTCTATGAAGACATGAAGAAGGTAAATATGCTCTCTGCTCCTATTTCAGAATGCATTACTTGTAAATTAACATCATTAAAGTATCAAAGAGCAAATCATAGTGGAAAAGGGGAAAGAAGAAAAATGTGAATGTATGTCTTCGGGCATATTTTATATTTGCATAGAACTTTTTATATTAGTGAACTAATTCTGACTGCACAAGTTATGTAAGTATCAAATCCCACGAGAGCTGCATTTCATAGATGTAGGAGTGGGACACATTACACTATTTTCCCCAGGCTACGGGAAGAATTTTAAGTTCCTCATTCTTGGTCCTATGGGAAGACCAACCAAGGACATCTGTGGAGGGCCACACATTAACCTGCTATGCCTGACATGTCAGGTGAAATTTTCAAAAAGTGTTGTAAGAAAGACAACAGAACTGCTTATGGTCAGTGGGACTTGTGCTCCCAATAAACAAGAAAATTAGAGACTGGAGAGTGTAGGAAAAAAGTTTTGGTGAAAGGAAATTATTATGCAGAAACTGCTTTGCTATTCTTAAAAAAAAGTCAAATACCAAGATACCTTAGCTTTCAGAGGACTAATTTTTGGGTGAATAGAAAATGCTTTTTTTTCTTTGTTCATTTTTTTGGAAAAAAAAATCCACTACGAGGAATATAAACAAGCCATTTTGGATCCTGAGTCACTTGTTGGATCTCTAGATACAGCACCTCCAGTGAGGCGCCACTTACACAGGAGCTTAGTTTTGAGTATTTCTTTATTCCCAGTGAAATAATTCTGAGAGACAGGAGAACGCTTTGCCTGAGCTGGGAGTAAAATTGCAGTGTAACTGGATTTGATATCACATACTCAGCAATTATTTCTTCCTGTGAGCCATAGGTAAGAGGGGAATCAAGGGCACTGCACCTGTCATCTACGCAGGCCAATGAGATACTTAGCTTTGCTTGAAAGCAAATAAATGGGTGATAAACTTGGTATGTAATAAAAAGGATCATTTTCTTATCAACTAAAAGTCTGATAATAAGCTCAGAAATATAAAAGCTTTCTTTTTCTTGTATGCCAGGATCTCCCTAAGATTGTAAAGGAAATTAGTCTGTTCCTGGGTTTACATGTCAGTGATGATGATATCCAAGACATCTGCAAGAAGTCCTCATTCTCAGAGATGAAAAATGACACAGAAAAGGAAAACTGTGATTCCAGTCACACCGTTTGCTCACTGACATCCAACAGGAGGCTGATTTTCCGAAAAGGTAAGTTCCTTGGGCTGGGCTTAGCAGAGCAGAAGGAGTGGGAATCCAGCCAGGGGCTGAAGTCCAGGACTTTCCTAGAGCGTAATGACGCTTTTGGTCAGCCCCAGGAGGTAGTGACAGGATTCTTCAGTTTGAAGCCATCTTAAAAATCACTTTCTTTGTAAGTTCCCTGGTTGCAAATGCAGGCTTATACCAGAGAAGCATGGAGGAGCATGAACAGCAGTCTGACCGCTATTGCTCTGAGTGAGCTTCTCAGCTAAGAGGAAAGGTTCACGAAGCATTGCTCTTTATCTGCCTATTTTTCTCTAAAAGTTGACCACCTCAGCCTTTTGCATGTCCTCTCTGATATCACCTGCAAAGGTCACTTAGTTACGAGAATGAGAAAGAGCAAGGCACATCCCTGCCGAGGAGGCTGCTCGCAGCCTTTATCCTCCGTACCACCTCTTATCTTACCAAACCGTTCCTGAAAAAGGAATACGCTGACAATGACAACAACGAAAGAATGGATGACTCAGTTACCTGATGGCCTCATAGGTAGCCTTCAGACCTTGGCCAAGCTGGAATACGCAGTAAAATCTTCAATGGTGCTTAGCTCAGATGTGACTTAAAAATATCTGCAGGAGCTGTTTTCTTGACGTTTCAGAAGCTTGCTTGGATTTGGATAAATCGTCAGTCAAAACCATCATGTTCAGATGGATTTTGATTATTTTTACTTAGTTAATTTTTGAACAATAATTGACAGTTTAAAACTAAGAGTTGTTTCAATTAAGAAACACTTGTTTTCACTTATAAGTAGGGAAATGGTACATTTTGCTAATTCAGAATATTTTTACCAATGAGCTGAAGCAAAGGCCAAAATACAAACTGTCAGTAAAGAGCAAACAAACAAAAAGCTCAGACAGGCTTTTCTAAGTCAATGAACTTTAACAAAACTATGTTGAAAAATGTGAAAAATGCCAGCACTTTCACTTCCAAGTAGTTCCTATGCAAATCCCAGGGTTTTAGCCAGTTTCAGACAGTTTACAGAAAAATTTTATATATATATATATATATACATATAAAAAACCTGTGTTTATATATACATATAAAAAACTGCTGTCTGGAATGCTGTTTTACTCAGCGGGTTTGGGATGCAGGGTCTTTAAAGGGTATGCATGAGGGAAAACAATAAGCATCGTCTCATTAAAATACGTCAGTTTAAAAAACAATTTCCTTTTCCTGTTTGCTCAAACTGGGTAACAGTAGAAACACTAGACTGAACATGAGTGTGCATGATCACCCAGAAGTAGTTAACTGCCCACTTAAATTGTGGGACACCTCATCCATAGAAAGCCCTAGAGATTAAGAGATTAGGAGTGGGTGTGAGAGTGGGATTGATCTACCAGGTCACCCCGGGCTCCTTTTTTAGAAGCCTTCTTTAGTCAATGGAGACATATGGCTGCTTTTGGGGCACCATTCATTTGATGAGTTTTAGATGTTGACTAGGATGAGGTGGGATTCAGCCAGGGAGTAACCATTTCCCTCTACTGACTGTGGAAGAGACCAGACGGAGACCTCTAGCTGCATACATTTAAGGTGCAGCAAGATGCCTCTCTGCTGAGATGTCCAAGAGCTCTAGTTCCATCTAGGAAACCTGCCATTCTTTGTGTACCACTTAGTGTTGTTGGCACTAAGCAAGCCTGAGGCTGAGGGTTTAACACCCTTTATGGACGATGATCCAGCTGCTTCCAGTTGTCTCACCAGACCAAAAAACAATTAACTCACGATCATGACCTACCGCAGAGACTATTGTTAATAATATTTTAATAATTTGTGCCAACTGCAATATTAACAAAACCGGGCTGCCTTTAAACCATTTTCTGCGCATATATGTATCGCTGGCCTCACAGTTCTTTTTCTGCTCCTGCTCTCCTAGGTGCTGTTGGTGACTGGAAGAACCACTTCACTCCAAAACAGAATCAAAGGTTTGAGGAGATATTTAATGAGAAAATGAAACTCAGCAAAATGGCAAAAAGCCTCACCTATGAATTTTGACTCCATGTGAAGAACAACACCCAGTTATGAACACACACAGCTAGAGCAATTGGTGGGAAATCGTGAATGGGGACTCCCAGTCGGTTTATAACCCTCCCAATGGAAAGGATTGTAAACATGAGATTTTGAGGACAGGAAAATTGTGACACAATGCCAGAGCTGAACTCAGTTTTCAGCAGGCAGATGTATTTGGATTTAGAAAGTCAGGTGTCAGACTCGTTTTTCTACAACCCTATCTACTTTATCATTTATTTCTTTTTTGCTCTAGAGGGATACAAATGGACTTCTTCAATCTGATTTAGGAATTTTACCTAAGATATTAAGAAAATCCCTCCAAAACAAACATGTAATAATCTGAACATATAAAAAGTCTAAAAACACATCATAAGAAAATGACCAAAGATTTGACCCCAGACTCGCTCCCTCCCTGATCTACCATGATTTGGAAAGTGTCTATCTTATCAGACTTTGTTATTGATATTGAAGTTGAAAACTGCAGCTGTACATTTGAAGACCTGGAGTGAAGTTTGTTTTATAAAATGTCTTTTTTTTTTTTTTTTTTTATAATATGTAGTTCTTTGATGGAATTTATTTCTGGGTTAGGTACTGTACTGTATAGTATTTTTGTTTTAAATGTAACTGATATAAATCCACGTAAATTTCTGTACAATGTGTTGGGGAACTATAAACATGTTTTTTTTCCCATTTGACTTTCTTCCTGCAAAATTCTTGTTTCCAGTGTTTCGAGGAGAACCGTTTTACTTCATGGTCCTTGTGCAATAGAACTCAACAGTTCCACTGTGGCAAACAAACAGCTACCCAGAGACAGTTTAATCTGAACACGACTTATTTATTTACCCTGCCCTGATAAGACAGATTTTCCAAGAATCAGGTGTCTGTGTTCACATCCAAGGGACTGTTTTAGGAACCCAGTGAAGATTTTTCTTCTGATTTATTCTGTGCTGTGTTTTTCTGTCCTCACCTTCAATTTACTTTGCAGGCTGGCTTTAAGGACTCTTCTCCCCAAACTAGTTCTCCCCAAACATATAATTCCAAAGCACCAGCAGGCAGAAAAAAAACCCCACACATCAGAAAAGCTTATCAAAAAAACCCTCATGCAGACAAGCACAACTACTCTGACTCCTCTGTGCTCTGAAGGTTCACATCTCTATTGCAAGCTCATCCTTGGCATGGGTTGTTTCTGACAAGCTGAGGTATGGCCTTATTTACAGTGAACACTAATGCCCTGCCTAGACACAGGTTTCACACTTGCCACACAGCCCTTTCATTTCATACCCTGCTTGCGCAAGCTGACATCAATACCTACTGATTTTGCATCTGCACAAAGGATACAGAAGTTACCTGCTGAAGAGATCAGCGAGAGACAATCCTGTTCAATAGCAGTCCCTTGCCATTTACCATTTCAACTGAATTTAAGGGAGATGCTGCCCTGAGCACCATTTTATGCAAACGACCCATTTGGAAACCAGAAGTTTGTGTTGCTTTGCTCTTCTGACACTAAAATCACTCTAAAATCCCTCGAACCACAGCTGCCCTCCTTTCAGGTGTCATTCTTCCACTACTAATAACTGGCAAGAGATCACCTAATGATGATGCTTGAACATTGTGCTTAAAGACTTATTTTTTCCAGCCTTTAAGCATGAAAAAAGCCAAAGGGTCCTTGGGCAAACAAAGTTTGCAAGTGAGTTTATATCTTAAGACTGCTGTAAGCAGCATTTATACGTATATTCACAATATGAAACTGCGAGCGAAGGGACAAGTGTGGACATGAAACAGGGATCAGTTGAGGGGCTTAAAGCATACAGTCCTGAACCAAAGGGATAGCATTCAAATATAAGGTCAGGTGTCTGACCTCTAGCACTGCATTGCAGAGTTAAATGGACTTTCAAAATAAAGTTCCTCTCAGTAACGCCTTGTACTTGTGCAGCACTTTTAGTCGCCAAATACAGCTCTACTCAAGCTTGGCGCAATGCAGCCACACCTGAGGCAGTGCGCAGAAACCGGCTGGCAGCGAGCAATAGCCTGAGAAAGCAAGCAGCTTCTGCCAGCGAAACTACCGGGTGGCAGGTCCCTCCGAGGCACTGGCACAGCCCGGCGTGGCTGCAGCCAGCCTAGCAGAACCGGCCTATGTCAGAGGTGCAGAAAGCTAGGCTGGGCACTGTTCCTAAAGGACAGGGGTACATGATGGTAGATGCTGGCAACCAGGGTCTCCCAGCAGTTGCTAACGCCTACCATTTCTTTCATCCTCTTTTCTCTTGCTCTCCCCAGGGTGTTGCTACTCCCCCTCCCCTTCCCACAGCTGTAGCATCCCTGCCACCAAGAGGGATTCATCTGAGTTTTTCAAAGAATTTCCAATCTGGCTCCTCCACAAGTCGTTTTAGGAGGACATGGAGATGTTCAAAAATTTTCAAAATTTCCATAGTAAAATGTTGTAAAAATGTCTCAAAAATGTCTCTTGCCCTCTCCGTTTTTCTTTTTTCTATGACGGTTTCACCTTTTGGAGAGAGAGAAATTTCAGCCCTACAAGATGTGAAAATACTGTTCCAAAATGTACCTAGACCACAGGAATACTAGGTTTAGAAGAAACAAAGCCCTGTGCAATCTCTATTGCGTGTAAATGGTTACAATACTGCTTTCCTATTTCAGGTAATATATTCCACCCTCCTGAATAAGGGCTCTTCTCCAGATTGATTTAATTACGGAGGACAGCATTAAACATTTATGCCATGAGAGCTGAGACATGAGGCTTCTACCCACTCCTGTGAAGTCAGCCTGCTTTGCTTCCTACCCAGGCTTACCTGGCCTTTGGGTCAGGAAAAAAAAAAAAAAAAGAGAGAGCAAGAGCATCCTCTTGTGAGAGGAACACATGAATTCCAGGCCTTGCTTCAAGGACTTTTTTTCCCTGAAAACATCACATAACTATCTTCTAAAGTAGCTTTCAGAGAAGAAAAGGTGCTCAGGTAAACATCCTAGCAACCTGACTTTAAGTCACATTAGTTCTGATATAATGAATTTGATGCCTAAAGCAGTTTCTTGGAGGAAAACAACGACTGGTGAAAAAAAAAATAACCTCTTGGAATAGCTTCAGGAACATCTTGTAGAAGAGGCAAGTGAGTCTGGTGAAGTGAGGGCGGGAAGAGCAGGCAGAGGAAGGGATCTGAGCCAGTTCTGGTAATCTTTGAGGCCAGAAAAAACCTCTTGGAATAGCTTCAGGAACATCTTGTAAAGAGGCAAGTGAGTCTGGTGAAGTGAGGGTGGGAAGAGCAGGCAGGGGAAGGGATCTGAGCCAGTTCTGGTAATCTTTGAGGCCAGAAGACATAAGAAAATAGAGAAGATTCAGGGCAGATCAACCGGTGAGTTTCTGCACTGGGTCTAAGTAGAGCAGAGATGCTCAGGGGATCAAGACAAGGGTCTGCTTGTAACCATCAGTCACCTGGAAAGGTAAACATGGAGGACCAGAAGGAATTTCCTCAGGTGTCACTTCACAACCAGCTGATGAGAGAGGAAAGACAGTCACAGACCAAGAGCGAAGGGCGCTCCTGCTGCAAAGACCCAGTGGGGATGGGACGGGAGGAATCAAGCCTGACTGAACGGGCTGAGTGCGGGAGCAAAGGCGATCACTGAAAGACCGTGTTCAGAAAGGGGGAAAGGACTGAATGGCCATATCCTACTTTCACCAGTTCCAGCCTCACAGGTGACCACAACCCACCTTCTTTCAAGGGACCAGCAACCATGGGGAGATGATTCTACAGCAACTTCTTTATTAACTTTGATAGGAGACAGTCCTCCCCCTTCCCCGAATCTGCTTACCTGTCCTGCATACTGCAGAGGACAAACTGTAGGAATGGACAGTGAAAGATGGCGGGTGTGCACGGTGAGACATTGCCCTTCCCGGGCCCCGAGGAAGACACTTGTTGGCCAAGTAGAGAGTGGCAGCACCTCATGGCCCCAACAGGGAGCAAGCAGGAGCACCCGACAGCTGCTCAAGTGAAAAACCCAGCAACAGGAAAGCATGAAGTCAGAAGTTACATTGCCATGCCTCCTTTTGACCTCTTTCCAAACTGGTCCCACCGGCCAATGCTAAGTGGAGAAATAGCCATCTTGGAAATGACCACCAGACATGCCCGTTCCGGCTCTGCAGCCACCTAGCAAGCTTTCTGCCCATAAAAAAGGAAGCAGCACTGCCTTGGAAAGGAACAGAAATGTTTGTTCTTCACTGACATCTATTGACTGCAGTGTTCTAACTGCAAAGCTCTGCACAAGAATTAAGCATTCATTTTTGCAGGGTGCTGCGGGGCTCAAAAGCAGAAGCAGACTCTGAAGGGAATCAGACACAGGTTTGAAGGGAGCAGGTCTGTCTCTGGGCACAGTCTACTTAGGAGTCCTTCACTTCTGACTGCCAGCATCTACCAGCAGCCACAGAAGAGACAGGATGATGGGACAGATGATGGCATTCACATGTAAGTGAATACTAATGCTTAGGAGTAATAAAAGCAGATTTTGCTTTTCTGCCTGCAAGACCTTGCACTAAAACAAAGGATAACGGAGCTCTGTTGTTCTCTGTCGCTTGTGACCTTGGTAAACTACATAGACCTAATCCAACAGCCAGGTAGGTATCACTGTGCTGCTCAAACTGCAGTTAGTTGCCTAGCTGCTTAAGAAGGATGAGGAATTAAATCAGTCTACAGCATTGCCTGCTGGCTAAACTAAGGGTTTACCTACCTTACAATAAAAAAAATAAAAAAAAAAAAGCAGAGCAGGACTTCATGGGCAGGTGAATGAAGCGCAATACAAAGCTAGTTTATATATCTCTGTGCCATCCAAGCTCAGACACCAATGACAGCAGCTTAATTGAAGCATCCCAGACTTGAGTTCCCCCATTTCTCGGCAGGGGCATCAGTAAACCACAGCACAGACCCACAGCAAGGCACAGGTCCAGTTAGCTCGTCATTGGCTATGTTGCCGCGCACTGCCTACAA